CTGACAGTGCCTTACAACCATTGTGGATGGACTTGGACTACCTAAGAAGAAGTCATTTCCTTGAGAGGATTGTCAGATGCAAACATATCTACACCTTTTTCAAGGGTCCCCAAGCACCAGCACGGTACCTCCTCCCAAACCCACAGCAAACATGCATCAATATAAGAAGCAACCTCAGTTTTTGCCCTGATGAGAGCCAACTCTACCTAAGGAAGATCAGTAGTTGAAGAGCGAAATGAGAGTGGTGCAGACACACATGAGGGATCATCTCATCAATCCTCCCACCACTCCACTCATTGAACAGGTACCACATCCTACTCATTGTTTATACCACTGCATTATATTTTGTTGCTTCTCTCTCTCATTGCTTTCATTACACAAGGGACTGTGTAATTTAAGTGTGGGGGAGAGATTTGGGGTTTGACTTTGTGTTTTGTTTTCTTAGTTTTTCTTTTTCTTTCATCTTGAGTCTCATGCACATCATGCATTCATATAAGGCATAGAAAAAGCACCAAAAAAAATCGAAAAATTTTAAAAAACAAAATTTGCATGTTTTTGCAACCCAAAAAGATCATTTAGTTGCATTTACATAACTAAGATTGAGTCTAGATGCATCTCATATAGGTTTGCATACATTTGCATAGGGAGTAGATGATAGACACTTGTCAAGATGTTAATGTTTGAATTGTTTTCAATACCTTGGTTATCTGTTGTTTGATTGCATTGTAGTGAGTTTGAAGTTAAGGCTGCACCATATCTTGAATTCTTGCATTGATATTCTTGTCTTATGCTCAAGCTTGCTTTGATTTGATTCCAACTCTATCTTATTGGAACCATAATCCTGACTTCGAATTATCTTGTTTGTGCATTGAGAGTGATTACATGACTACCCATATACATACTTGGATTATCTTCTTCCCTTCTTACCACTCTTGTTAATCCAAGTAGCTGATCCTCATCATTATGGGACAGTTAACCACACCCTAAACCATTCATTCTTTCTGAACCTAAACACTATTGTGAGAGTTGTGAGGCCTTGCACTGCATAATTTTCGATTTTATCTTGGCAAAAAGTGTTAGGAATAAGGCTGGCAAGGAGAAGCTCTCTTGTAGACACCAGCTTGCATCTTGATCTTGGTATTAGGTTAGGAGTTTGGGAAAGGGTAGTGTAAGTGGTTTGAGCTTTTATTGTTTACATCTTTGAGAAGAAGAAGAAGTATGGGATTGGTAGTATGGGGGAACAATTTTTTTTGTGGTTAAGTTAACTAGGAAGAAAGCTCTAAGTGTTAAAGAAGAAAGGTTCCGACAACAACAAAGCTTACAATAGTTCATTCAAAAGAAAAAATCAGACCAAGCAATCCACCAAAGGTGATGAAAATGGCGCCAATCATACAACAAAGAAGAGCAAGTTCCAAAAAAAAATCAACCACACAAGCAAAAGAAGAAGGAGTTTCCCTCATTTATGAAGAAGGAAGAGATCAAGTGCTTTGTGAAAGGGTAGATTTAGGAGTTCCACTTGGGGTTTTAGAAGTTATTAGGTTCATCTTGGCGAAAAAGGGTAGAAGAGAGCTTTGACTTGCATGCATAGGTGTGCTTTTACCTTTAGCATTTTGCCTAAGATAGAATCATTTCATTGAGTGATCCCCTGAATCTTTGAACCCTTATTTGAATGAGATCATTTTCATCTCATAACCATGTCCCTTGACCAAATGTTTTCTCTTGATTTGCACAAACATGATCCATTGGAAACTGATTAATGAATGTTAAAGAGTTGGTTGATTTGAATGCTTGTGTAGGCTAAGCTAGAGTGCATTGTTTGCTATGATAGGTATGGCTAAAGCTTTTAAAGTAGAACAACCTCTATGCATCCTAGAACTTATAACTTGGGCATTGAGTCAGTTTTTCCATTGACATCTTTAGTTTTGAGCTCCCACCTTCAAACCTCACTCTCCCATTTGTCCTTATTTGCTTGAGGACAAGCAAAAGGCAAGTGTGGGGGTGTTGATATCTCTTGTATTTACACCATTTAGGCTTGCATATAGTACATGTTTTGGTTCTCTTTTGCATGTTTTCCTTAGTTTTTGTCCCATTTTCTTCTCCTTTTAGACTTATGTTGCATTTAGGATATAGTTTGCATTTTTCTTACATTATGGATGTTTTTACGTGCTTGTGGAGCTAAAAGAAGCTTAGAGGAGCTTTGAGGATGATGCAGGAAGCTAGCTGGGCCAAAAGGAGCAAAAGGGACCAAGGCAGACGATCTCTGCAGAGCCTATCGGTCTGTGCACGGAGGTTATCGGTCAAGGAGTGACCGATACAAGACGTATCGATCAAGGATATCAGTCAAGGGGTGACCGATACAGACCATATCGATCAAGGGTATCGGTCAGGAAGTGACCGATACAAACGCGTCGAGTATATTTCGGTCACCATATCGGTCACTTTCCAGACCGATACGATTCATATCGATCAGGCCTAGACCGATACAACTGACCGATATGATCCCAGACCGAAGACCATTTATTTATGATTTTGCCATTTTCGCTTAGACTCTTATAAATACGAAAAATCCCTAATTTTTGGGAACAGTCTTTTATCCAGCAGTTCTTTCTTCTTTGTTTAGACCTTTGGGTTTTGTAATTTGAATCTTTGCTTGATTATAATTAAAGTTTGCATCTTTCATCTTGTTTAAGCTCTCTAATCATGATTAGTCGTCTTTCTCTCTTTAAATTGATGGCTTTAATGGTGCTTAGTGACTAGTCTTTTTAGGGAATTGAGATGGGTTAGGTTTAGAGAATTTGAGACTCTATCAATGATTGCTTAGTGTTTAATGCTTAATTAGCCCTAGCTAAGTTGATTAAGATCTTAGGCTCATTTTATGCCCACCAAGTGTTTGATGAAATGCTTGAACTGCTTTGCAAGAGAATTGCTTATCCTAGCTCAAGAGATTGACTGTCTAGGGAGTGATTTGGCAATATAGGGTTGATAAATTTGTCTTAATGCTTGCTCTTTATCATTTCACTAATGAGAATTAATTATTGACTTGGTAATTAGCAAAGAGATTAGTACCAAGACATTGGATTAGTCATATAAATGAATTTTATGCATAAGGAATAGCATTGCGTGAGTTTGTAATCATCTTAGATTGAGTCAAGAGTTCCCTAACACCAATTATCTCATCTCAAGTCCCATCTTTTCTCTGTTTTCAGCTCTATTTCGAATTTGCCCTGTTTTTCCTTTACTTTAGTTGCTTTGCTTGATTTTCAATTTTTGTTTTGTGCTTGCTTCATTGCTGTTTGATCACTTAGATTGCTAGATATTCTAAAACTCTTTTTATATCTGCTTGAATTAAGACATATACTATAATCCTGCTGTTTCAATCTTCCCCTTTGGATTGACATTAAAACCCAATGCTACAATGACTAGTAAAATGGATGATTGACCAAGAGAGTCAAAACTCTTGTATTACAACTGCGGAATCCAAGAATAACGGCATAGATGGTGGAAATTGTGACAACTAAAGAACAAGAGCGAAGAATTAAAAATTGGTTCGATTCTGGAATTTGACTCTCTCAACGTCATCGGATTCTCTCCATGGAGCTCTGTGTTCTTTGGCGGATAAACTGAACTCGATGACGAAGGAGCTTTAGGTTTTTAGGTTTTTGTTAAATGGATCTGATCTAGGATTAAGTTTGGAACGGGCAAGTACGCAGATGGGTATTGCTAGGTTAGATCTGTAATAACAAGGATATGGTTGGACAAAGTGTCTTTTCTATATTTTGATTTAAAAGAAAATCAAAATCAAATTCTCAAACATAACCAAGGTATTTAAGCATGTCTTTCAACATTTAAGGCATTTCCAGCCAAAGATCCTGTGGTAGGTCAGATTATTTTTTTCATAATTAGTGGCAGTTCACTCACTCGCTCGTCTTCTTATTGTGTTATCAAATATGTACTATACTATTATTCTTGCTAAGAGTTCATATGGTTAGACACAAACATAGGTCGCTCGAAAAATATAAAGAAAATCACTACTTTCGTTTGAATAGTTCACTACTTTATAGAATATTTCTTGTTTCTTATTCGTTTAAATATTTTTTGTTTTCTTTTTTTGTTAGCAGCCTCATAATTTTAGAACTATCTAGAAAACCATCTGTAGAACTGAGTTTAGATAGTTTAGATGATAAAGATAGTTTTAACTACGTGCTAACTTGTCTGTATCTATGTTCTGCACGTGTGAGATCTTTAAGATTGAGAAGAAATCAAACTCTTTTTTGTTCCTCTTGTATTCCTCCAAATGTAGTGAAAATGCTGGCCATTCTGCTGAATTAAACACAATTTTTACCAATTTAGAACTGTGGGTGACAAAAACAACCGCTATCCTTCTTGCATCTACCATACAATACATTATCCATATTAATATCTCCAATTCTATATGCAAAAAGTGATATGCTACCTTGTATATTATATGTGCCCATTAGCATTTCCACAATATCCTTTTTTGACTGAACTAACCCAATTTTACGTTGGATATCCCTAGTTTTCATGAATCATCTGTGCGGCAAGTATTTCTTGTTTCTTATTAACTCAATAAATAAGTTGTAGAAAACAAATTGACATCATCTCCATTCTACAGAAACAATGTCACGGTGCCATCCACAAATTTCTGTGCATATTTTGAAGGATCCTGCATATTTGGAAATTGATACATCTACTACAAGGTGAATATGTAAGTAATGAACTACTATAGCAATATTAGGATGTCGAAACATAAAACTTTGTTATCAAAATATTTTTGAATTGATTTTGCTTGAGTCGGAAGAGACCCAAAATTACAATTTAAAATTCATTGAAAATTTTGGTTATAAACAAAAAAGAAAACTTGTTAATATTAGAAATTTTTTTGAAAAATGGTAGAAGCTCTCTACTATTCGAAGCTTAGCTGCCTCGTCAATAAAATCCACAAATAGAAAAAATAAATCCAACAATCTCAAAATAAACCTAATAAAAATTCTACGGCAGTGAAATCTTCTTGCTCCTATTTTCTTGCTTTTTAAACCTTTTCTTCTTCTTTTCTCAATACTTTTTTTCCCTTTTCGTAGAGAGCTCACAAAATTCCCGAATTTCATTTTGATCAACCTCTTTTCTAGTTCTTCTTCCTCTTTCTTCTTCATAAAAAAAACTATTACATTTCTACATTATTCTTGAACATCTCGAAGATCTTTAATTTATCAGAAGAAGGAAGAGGCTAGAGTATCATTTTTTTCTTTTAAATATCAATCGAGGTTTCAATTTGCATTTCGATCTTCTTTATTTTCCATACTTTTAATTTTAATTCTACAAAACCTAAAAAAATCCTGGTGGCAAAATGTCGATCGGAGAGAGATCGCCGAGGAGGAAAGTGAAGTTCATGTGCAGTTTCGGCGGCAAAATCCTCCCTAGACCATCCGACGGCGTTCTCAAATACGTCGGCGGTGAGACTCGCGTCATCGCCATCTCTCCTGACATCTCATTCTCCGGTAAAATTAACCTAAGTCTTTTCTAATTACGATGTTATCTTGGTTTTTTTGTTTCGGGTTATCTTATTTAATCTGGTTTAGTATTTCCGGTTTAGTAGACAATATGCTTCTTCATCATCGAGCTTTTTGGTTTATTAAACTTTCAGAACTTACAAAGAAACTCACGGAAATCACAGAGAACGACATCGTCCTCAAATACCAAATCATCCCAGAAGATCTCGATGCGTTAGTCTCCGTAAAGTCCGACGAAGATCTGAAACACATGATCGAGGAATATAACCGTCACGAAACTCCGAAACTGAGAACATTCTTGTTCCCAGCGAATCCAATAATCCTCGAGAATCAATTAGGTCCAGTAGAGCTACAATCGATTGAGCAACGATACATCGACGCAATCAATGGCATTCTTCGCAAGAGTGTTCGTGCTCCAATCAAAACTCGACCTTCTTTCACCGTCTCTGCTTGCTCATCTCCTAGATCAGAATCATCACCTGATGGATACAATCATGAACAGCTTGAAATTGGTAGCTACCAATTAAGCCGGCTTTATCCGATGCATAGAGTTCAAAGCAGTCCTAACATCTCTCAACAGTCGCAGCCAGAGAGCTATCAGAATCATCACCATAATGCTTACTTTCAGCCACCTAACTACTTAACTTGTAGGCTGCGACCTTCATCAGAGTTCCCAAGAGGCGGCGGATGGGATCCGCCGGGTCAAGCGGGTGGCAGTAATGGGAAGTGCGGGTGCAATGAGGAAAGAAGATATTGGGGACGAGCAAGTAGTGTTCCTCAGAGTCCTAAGAACTATGGACTTCGTCTCTGATATTGATTCGTAGCATTTGCAATCATTTGTGTATACATTTGGTTTTTTGTTTTGTTGTACAGTTTTAACTCTGTAGGTGTATAACGTGCTTGAAATGCTTCTGGAGAATGTTTAGTAATCAGTGGAAAGGCTGCAAGATAAGAGGTTTGGTTTTATTGTACATGTTTTATAAATCTGAGGAGAACATTGGCTTCACTTATTTGTTTTGAAGACAAAATTTGACTCTTTCCATTCATTTACTGCTTATAAAAATCATGGACACATCCCACGAATAATTGCTGTATGAATCTGCATCACTTCTTGGTTATGAGATGCTATTACGTCTTTGATTACTTGCGTTTTATCCGCTTTCTATCTTCTCCTTCAGCTCTTGGAGCTTTTAGTATCAACTTTTTTTTTTTAAGTTTCTTTTAATGGTTTCTTCATATGGTACATAAACGTAATCACTAATCAGCGTGGTTCTTTTTGTCAATTCCATATCTTCCTTTGCAAACATCTCTGCTTCCTGCACCAATTTCATAGACAACGCACATTTTGTCACCATCACTGCCAACATCAATATGAAGGAGGACAAAGAATCAACTTCTTAAAAGATTGAAGCAAATTTCATAATTAGCACACACTTCACGGTCCTCATCCTTTGGCCTTTTAATAAACGACAAAATTTGAAACGATGTTAAAAGAAAACGTATTAGAACGAGACATTGAAGATAGACAGAGATTCCCAATTTGATGTGTTTATATAAAGATTATATAATTAAATTCGAGAAACTGACAAATAGAATAGACACCATAACGACATGCAATCTTCATAGAGAGGATATATATAGAAGCATACAAACAAAGACCGGTTATTATGAGCATGAAATGCTAATGAAAAGGACGCGGACGACTATAGACAAAGACCATATTAAGCAGAGTTCTGGCCATTGACTATGTGGTCGTCCACACCAGTCACCATCTTCTTGACGTGCGCCATGTAGTTGATGGGCTCTGGGGAGTCTTCGCTGATCTTCTCCCACACCAGATTGACTTTGCAGACGCAGCCTTTTTCCGGCTTTGGTATGAAGTGGAAGACGCCGTAATACACCTTGTACAGGTCCATCACGTGACCACCCACCGCTATCTGCGTGACCGCCATCTTCTCGTCGTCATACTCTCTCCTCTCCTTGAACACCTCCTTCTTCCCATCTAAGTACACAAATAGAAAACCCTAGCTCGCATTAATTACACGATTACATATGAAACTATGGAGAGAGAGATGGCAATTGAAACTAATAAGAAAGCAAGAAAACCAAATTCAATTCAATTCAACAAATTAAACCGTTGAACGTTAGAGAATCCTTGAAAGTTCATGTTTGAATTCAATTATTATAAAGAATCATGGATCATTTTATCCTATAACAATAAAACACGTGAGCATAATATTAGAGACTGCATGTATAGTCCCAAGATCTGATGGAGCCATGTGTGTTCCAATCACCATCCTCCATGGTGACGCTATGGATCATATGTTGACCGATGGCTTGTGGGAAGAGGTGGCCTTCATGCTTCCACTTTGAAGTGGTTCTCAGCGGACCCTCTCAGCGTCAACTCCTCCACGTATGTTCCTGACATCGCCATTTCTTGAATAATTGTATTCTTCTGAAATGTGTTTTGTTTAATGCAAATACTAAGTGATGTCCCTCCTTTATATATACACATGAAAAGTCAAACTCACCACAAGATCACAAGAAAAGAAATAAGATATATATATACACTACAAGAATTCATTGAAATGGCTACGGATTGGCGAAGGTATTTAGGTAGCCAAGACTATTAGCTATGCAAATGGCAACAGATAGCGACAAAACAAATAATATTATTTTTGTAGTTAAATCTGTAGCAATTCTATAGTAATCGGTAGCTATATAGCTAGAGATGAAATCTGTCGATATTTTATAGCTAAATAGCTAAGCACTGATAGAGATAAGTTGTTGCCATAAATGTTTTAGCTAGCAATGTATAACTACAAATTGGCAACAACATGTGTACTATCATTATCCATTCCGTACATAGCAATGATGTAACAACAAAATTATAGTAGCTAATTTTTTTAAAGTAAAAATTTGAAATAATGATTTCAAATTAATTATATCAGGTTGTATTTTTTTAATGTGCCATAGAAAAAATCACCAAGATACATAATGTGACAATGTCCGAAGAACTTAACTAGTATAATCTAATATTATATACTCCATCTATAATATAATATTATATACTCCATCTGTTTCATAATAAGTATCATTTGAAGAAAATATATTTGCAGTGTATCTGGATGTATTAAACTCAAAACACATCCAGATACATCCAGTTATAATACAGATATATTTTTTTCAAATGACACTTATTATGAAACGGAGGGAGTATAAGTTTAGAAGAATAGAAAGCAAAAATTAATTAGTTCAAAAAGAAATGTGGAGTGGGTCGCTGCCACTTACCGAAGGTACGTAAGTAATTCGTAGATTTGTGTTTAATCGGTAGGAAATCAACAGCAATGCATGGTAGCATTCGCACGGTCAGTCTTGAGAGATGCGCATATCACACTTTCTAATTACTTATGTACACGCGCTACAAGATTGAGTAACTCATACCGATTGAAAATAATTTTCCAACACCAATACTCTTAATTAAGAGGATATATGTTTAACATGGACAGTTAATGGTTTAAGCAAATAGATCAATGTAATGATATTTTTATAATTAAATAAAAACTAATTAATGACATATGTTGGTTTTTAAAGCAAAACTTTAAAATGATAAAGATGAAACTCAAAATGTATACATTCAAATGAAAAAGATGAAAAATTAAGCATGTGTGTACATTATTTAAATAGTTTCTTATCTAACAATAGCTGAAGAACCTACTGTAGAAGATCACAATATATAAAATTTCAAGTGAAAGTTTTTATGCTGAGTTTGAATATTTCTATTTTTGTTGAATTAATTAGTTTAAGATTTATATGCAAAATTATATATATATTGGAGTTTAGATTTGTTTTGTCATAATAGAATTTGAGTTTTAAAATATAATAACACTTGTATTTTTAGTTTCCCTAATTTTGTATCCATATAAATAAAAGCATGTAAATTTTAAAGAAAAGAATAAAACTTTTTTTTTGGAAAGCTCCGCCAACCATTTGGAAAGTTTCCACCAAAGATTTGGCCAAAATTTTCAGATTCCGCCTTAATATTTAGCCACAATTTTTGGAAAACCTAAATCTTTTTTTCCCTCTTATCCTTCGCAGCTCATTCTTTTCATCCTTCTTTTCCCTCTTCTCTCCTTGGCGGCTGATTCTTTCCCCTCCACCTTCTTCGTGGCTGATTACTTTTTCTCTTCTCCTTCACAGCAGAGAACTCTATAATAATGTCAGTCTCTCCCTCTCGCAACCGCTCATTTATCTCTTTCACGGTAGTTAAACACAATCTCTAAGGTTAGATTATTCTTTAGATTTATAGTTTGAGTTTTGTTTGGGGTGAAATCATGCAATGACTTAGGGTAATTGCTGATTATTGTGCCAAAATTGATTTAGGATTCAATTCTTCTTTGAATTTCTGCGTTTTTTGTTTGTAATGTTATGCTCTTCATATTCCGGTAATTGATGTTTATGTATTGAAATTGATTTATGGTTCAATTCTACGGGGTTCTTATTTTTGGCTGAAATCATTCTCTTCAGTTTTGGTTAATTGATAATGGTTACTACTGAAACCGTATTACTATTTATTTAATCAGGGAACGATTTAGTATTGTACAATACTATGAATGATGGTCATCTTCACGTGTTGTCTCTAATGTTTTCCAAATCTCTATCATTGTAGTATGCATCCACCATGTAGGTAGACTACCCGCAAGAGGTTATGTTGGACGAGAGGCCCATGCCCCCTCAAGAGCTGGTGATGTCTCCATCCTTCAGTTGCAGATGGAAGCTCTCTATGCCAATCTCTATGACAAATACACCAAACTCAAGGTTTTCTCAAGAAAGATCTTCCATTTAATTTTTCGTTTTTGTATTTTGCGTTTCACGATTTTGATTTAACTGCTCTTGTTTAAAGATGATGCTCTCATTTCAACAAGAAAAGTTCCTAAACTTAGTTTCAGGTACCAGTTTCGATCTATTGTAGTATTGTTTTTGGAAGATTCTTTATTTATAGTTGAGCTCTTCCTTTTACTTCGTGTTTGAGTCTTATTCTCATCAGATATATTCATGAGTTGTTACTATCTTCTCTGTCTTTAAACTATATTGCAAATTAAAGGGCGCGTTTTGGTTCAGTTTGGATTTATATAACAATTGGGTGTCTTTTATGTTGTTCAATGCTGTAGGGGAAAAGATATCGATGGTCACTTGTAAGTTGGTGAATCTTCTCTCCTTGTCAAGTGAGTCTTGCTTCCATATTCCAAATTATTTTTTTATGCATTTACTGGATTCAGAAGATAAAATATGTTATGTTGTAAGCGAGATAAGGTTTGGCAAGCAAGAGTGCACAGCTTATGTGATGTTCAATGATTCTTGTTCTTAGGAAACTGCTGTTTTACACTAGGGATTCTCTCGATACTCACTAGTGTCTGGAATTCTCGATTAACTTCAGGGCTGCAACAATATTGGAGCAGCGCATTCATAACTTGTTGGGGACAGCACCACTGAGTTTTGAAGATCCAAAGCACAAGGTTGCCGACTTCTTGTAGGATATGCAATAAGTTTTCAGTTTTGGACTTTTGTTGTCTTGTTTTCACTTTTGTTTGTTTGTATGATACTTGACAATTTTTATTATGTTTTAAAAATATAGTTTGTTTTAATAATCTATTTCTACACATTTTATGCTTTAAACACAATTTAAATGTTTTGATTTATTTATTGAAAATAAAATATTTTGTTTTATTTATTGAAAATCAAATACTTTGTAATCAAATCTGTGGCACATTCGCTACAGATTTGCTATAGAGAGATTATTGTTAAAGTTTGTAGCTACATACCCACAAGATATCAGTAGCCAAAGTTGTCACTATTTAGCAATAGAACAAATTGTAGCCATATTGTTGCTATTGGCTACGGAAACAGCTCTTGCTAATTTGTTGCTAGTTGGCGACAAATTGGCTACGAATTAAAAATAGCGTCGGAGCTGAGGCAACAAAATTGATCTGTTCGTCGCCATCTTAGTTTTAGCTATGAATTTTGCCCGATAGCTACATAATAATGTTAAAAGATACTATTATCATTACAAGAATTTACTGAAATAGTTACCGATAGCTACAGAATAATCGGTAACTATTTCAGTAAATTCTTGTAGTGATAATAGTATATTTTAACTATTGTTTGATTGGCAGCGGACTGAATCGAGCTCCGGTTGACCAAACAATAGTTAAAAGACCATGCGGGATTAGGATGGATCTTCATCTCAAATTCCAGATCGGGCATGCAGAAAGGATCTGCATCGGTAAACTACATCGGATCTCCTTTCTTAACAGAAGCAACAGCGATCCTCTTCGCCCTTCAACATGCCAAGAGATTGGGAATCCGCAAAATCTTCTTCACATGGAGTTGTTCACTTGCTCTTGTTCCAGATTCATGCGATGGCTTAAGAGTGTCTGCAATGTCCCGCCTGCTACCTATCGATGCATGCTTGATAGGTCTCTTGTTGAGTGAGTCACTCTGCTAACTTGGAGGCCCGAGGTTGGTTTCCAGGAAATCGGTCCCAACAGTTGTCTCCGACTGCATGTGTCCTTTTTAAGGAGGCAAAGAGTCAATCCTCTTTCCTTCTTGTTCCTGTAAAATATGTACAAACGTTTTATACCCAAAGGTTTTTTAGTGCAGAGCCAGATTAGACAAGACCCATTGATAACTTGCATAATTGCATCACATTAGACCTTATTTAGTAGTTTTCATTCCATTTCATCATCTAGATTGTCCAAAGTGTTTCTCATCCATCCAAATTAGACGTAGCTTGTATTTAGAATAAGCATTGCATGTTTTGTCTTGTTTTAAGTCTATTTCAGGTATCTTTGGATCTAAGGAGACTTAGTGAAGGATGGTGAATACTGTGGACCAGAAGAACTGAGCTGAAAGCATTGGAAAAAACTCGTCCAAGACTCATACCATGGAGATGAACCGTGGAGAACACATTTTCTCTGCTCGGTGCAACTGTAGGTGCGAAATGTATGGTTTGTACGAAGGTCTTGAACCTAGATGATGCTTCATCGAAGTTGTATAGGATCCAAGGAGCTTTCCATTTGGACCTGGGGTTAGAAAGTTACCGCGATTTCAAGAATACCGCCAAAGAGCTGTTTGTACACCGATGAGTCTCCACGGAGGCGATTTGCACCGACGAAGGCCCGGTCGTACACCGATGAGTCTCCTCGGTGCATTTCATCCTGAGGAAAGTCTGACCGTACACCGGTGAGTCAGGTCGCCATGAAAAGCTACAGGACCTATCGCCGGTTACACCGAGGAGAATACCTTCTCCCTCCACGATGCAACCATACTGCCCAATTGATTGACCCGTACAAAGCCCTTCCATTGCGATTCAGCCTCAGCGTCCTTCATAGAGGTTGAAGAGGATCGAATTAGCATTCCAATGGAGTTGGAACCAGGTTATTCCGATCAGTTGTTAAAGAAATAATTCGATTCTACCAACACGTCCACAAAGCGTTTCAAACCGACGAGAACCATTGTTGTTTTCCTCGATATAGAGCAGTCCAAATGTTGAATTTTTTGTTGACTGTGTCATTTTCAGTCCTTCGCTATAAATATCTCATACTTAAAAACATTTGGGTTATCTTCCTTTTATCATCCTTTATTCAGTTCTAAACAGAAAAACTGTTTTGTAATCATTTTAAGAACTTGTTGATCCTTGATCATCTTTTAATTAAGTTTTGTGTTTATATTTCTTGTTTTGCATCCTTTAATTATGTTTAGCTATATTCTTATAGTTCTAAGCATGGTTAGTGAGTAGTTCTATTAGGTTTTGAGATGGGGTTTTTAGGATGATTAGATGGTTGATTAATGAATGTTTTGCTTTTAATTCTTCCATATCTTTGCTTAATTAGTGTTTTTAATGCTTGATTGGCCTTGGTAAAGGTATTATTGATCATTGGATTTCTCTGCATCGTAAATGTTTGATGAAATGTCTGAATGAATTAATTAAGTGGTTTGCATTCTTAGCCTAAGGGATTAGCTGTCTAAGGTGCTTATTATGCTTTGTAGAACTAATTCTTAATGCTTGCTAGTGATATCTCCACCATTGAAAGTGGATAAGGATTTATGATTAGTGAAGAGATTATTGCCAAGAGATTGGATTAGTCTTATTTTGATGTTTTTTTCCATAAGGATTAGCTTGTCCCTGTTGTTTGAAGCATCATTAATCATCATTGAAATCATCTTAGTGCTTATCCCCCATCTTAAGACCATTTCGCATTCCCTTGTTTAAGTTTGCTCTTTCTCTATTTTGTTACTCTGTTCTTGCATTTATTTGTGTTTAAGTCTCTTTCTTAGGTTTGCCTTTTAGTTTGTTTGCTTGTTTTCCTATTTGCACTTGTTTGATTGATGAGTGTTAACACTCTTAAATCCCCATTTTGGCTTAGCTAAACAATATTTTGCATCTTCTCTATACTAATCCCATGAAGGATTGGTAACCCCTTATGCTACAATGACATGATTTTAGACTCAAGGAGAATTGAGTCACAAGAGTACAAAAACTCTTGTATCTATTTGGCGCTGTTGCCTTCGTGGGATGTTTAGTATATTGAAGTTTGAACATTTGTTTAGTCTAAGCTCTTAATTTCAGTACTAATTTTTTTTTTTTTGCTTTGATTTTCATTTCAGGTACAATGGAAGATCCCTATGCTTATTACATGCCACATCTTGGCTTTCAAAGTGGCTTCCAGAGTGGTTTGAGACACTCTCACGACACTGATGCTTATCACCATGAACATGGTTACATGCCACCAAGAAGTTATGGCCAAGAGATGCATCAGCCTTACACTTCTTTCTATGACCACCACGCTCAAGCTAGTACATCTTCACCCCTTGACTTGAGTCTCAACTCAATGGTGCAGCAACTCTTTCAAATGTAAATAGTGGAAATGAAGATATGATGAATGGTTTTGCCGAAGTCTACAACAAGATGTATACTACCTCTTTGGAGCTGAACCACAAATTTGATGCTCTAACACTAAAAAATGGACATCATTGAGCTGGAAGAGGCTCTAGCATCACTTCAAGAACGTCAACTAGCAAGAATGAGTGACACCATCCAACAGGAGTATTGTAGCATCCGTCTCCAAGAAATCTGAAAAGTCTGAGGCCGGACAGGGGGTTGTCCGAAGGAACGTGAGTTCAGTCAAGTGAAAAATCTGTATGAATGAGGTTCAGACTATAGTCGAGTGATGACTTGGAAATAGTCGAAGGATGGCCGGGCTGGCCAAGCTGGATGGACCATATTTGAGAGAAAAATGGTTTAGTCCGAGTAAAAGTGGACTATGTCCGAAAAAAGGAAAAGTATCCGAAAGAAAAGGAAAATAACCAGTAAAAATGGGCTGGGCCAGTGGGCCTGAGTTGGTCGACTAAAACTAATTTCTTGCGTGGATGGTCGCGCGGTTTAGGCGATAGCCGAGAGAACTTAAAGATGACCGGGATAAATCTGACTAGAACCGAGAGACGTCGGCTATAACCAGGTCACCTAGGTTTTTACGTGTACAAAAGGGGGATTTTTAGACTTTTCTCGGGAGACCTGCACTATTTGGGAGAAATAGAGCGAGAGAGGGAGATTAGTCGAGAGATTACCCGAGAGAATCCGCGTATCTTATGAGTTAGCCGAGAGAGATTGAAGGTTTGCCGTGCGATTCCGACTGTCATCGAGAGATCGAGTGTTCTGTCCGACTTTCTGTCAATCCGATCCGACCATTTGTTCTGTTTTGTACTGTTTCCGAGGGCATACAGAGTCTTGCTTGAGAAAAAAGTGAACGGGTTGAGAGATAGCCGATGGGAGTGAGGATTTCACCGGACCAGTCTGAGAGATAGTCGGTCGATTCTAGGACAGTTCATTATAGACGGTCGGGTCCTCACAAGTTGGTATCAGAGCATGATCGATTATAGGACAGTTCATTAGCATAGTTGGGGTTAAAGTCTATCCACCTTCTCACTACCAAGTCTTGCAGTCTGTTGTTCTGTAGAGTGCGGAACTCTTGTCTGGGGTTAGCTTCGAGCTAACTGGTTTTTCTGTTTGGCAGATGGCTCCGAGAAACAGAACTGTGAGAGCACAAGTGAAAGGTGCTGAGGCTACTGATAGTTTGGGAACTTGGAATCTGGCCGGGGACCAGCAGGGGAATGCAGCTGTGAATGCTCGAATGTGGCGGCGGCTAATGCTGGATACGTGGCAAGGAATGATGTGGGAGCACAACCGGAACGGCTGGAGGCTGTTGATATATCATGGTTTTTAACCATGATTTAAGTCCTTTTTATTGAGTCTTCTTGGTCTTTTTAGAGTCCTAGTAGAATCTTTGCAGGTTATAGCATGTCTAGAACATAATTAGAGATATTGAAGCTTTTTGGAGCATTGCAAGTTGCAGCATGGAAGTATCCAGCTCGGAGAAGAAAGTATGCATTTGGGTGACACTCGTCACCACCTATGGTGACGCTCGTCACCCACAAAGGAAGGAGCGTGGTTGATTTGTTAAAACTATCAAGATTATTTGCAGAATTGACCCAGAAGTTCCAGTATTTGCAAGAAGGCCACATATCGTGTTTTAGCTTCTATATATTAGGTTTTCAGCCATTGTTGGCTTTTATCTTAGTTTTTGAGAATTGAGAGAGCTTTAGAGAGGATTTTATTGAGAGCTTTTGGAGAAGATTTTGAACACCCTTTGTTTTTATTCTATTCTCTTAATGCAATTTTATTCAATTATGTTTGTAATTCCATGATCATGTTTGAGTAATTTGCTAGTTAGGTTAGGGCTTTTCAAAGGTTGATGAAGAGTTTGTAGAGTTGCTACCTGTTAGACTTATCTTCTTGTTCTTCATCTCTGCTTGCTTTAAAATCGAATTTCTTAGACACATCATCTAGAAATCCGAAAATCATAGGTTGTTAAATATATGTGAGAGCATTATTGATAACCTGAACTAGTATTTGATGAGCAAAACAACTTAGTGCAAAGAGATTTGGCTTGGGCGTTTTGTGAACAATTGAACCTGATCATTGCTGCATGTTTAGATTGTTAGTGTTTGCAAAGAGATTTGAAACTCTGTGATTTAGACTTAGATAACTTCTGCAATGAGAATTGATTAGTTATATATTTGTGATTCATGTTCAAGACGGTTCTAAATCATTCCTGATTTCATGCATTCTATTCTCGGATTCAATCTGCGAACTGTCCTGACTTAGCGTTTTTAGTCTTCTGAAACTTAGATCAACAACCAAATTTCGTTTGCTTACATTTAATTTGTCATTCGCATTACATACACCATCTGCTGCTTAGCTTAATCTGAACCTATACTCGATAGTGTAGTTTACATACTCGTTTGGGATTCGATACCCCTTGTACTACAACTGCTTTTCTGTGCACTTGTAGTAGTTTTATTTGGATAAAACCTGAGCCCTATCAAGTTTTTGGCGCCGTTGCAGGGGAGTAATAGCTGGCTATCGATTTTTA